TGGATTTAGATTATAAAAGGGATTCGACTTGAAACTAGGGACTTCTATAATTTATTGATACTATACATGTACTTATAATGGATACTTCCACAAGTTGGATGTACTCCTTCAGTCCAATTTCATGTCAAGTTTTACTTATATGTTGCATGCCTGTAATTATGTTATGTTGGTCTGTAAAATTCAATAATAATAATACCGTAGGTCGGGATATATTCGCGGCTGCAATTATTCGCGGTCATAAAAAAGTTCAATTAAAAACCATGGTAACTGTTAGAGCGTTGCTATGACAATAAGACCACGTGTTTAGTGTTCAGCTATTCATCTGTTCTTTAGCAGCTTTACTGGAGCCATTCACCAATAGTGAGTCCTTCTCTACCTGTTAACTTCTTGTATGGACCTCTACCTCAGAGCTCTTTCAGCCTCTTTGCTGCAAATTGTTGCTGGTCCGCGTGCTGGTGATAATAAACCACACCCAAGTCAATAAACACTAACTAGAATGGGCGGAGAGTCCCAAGATGCGGCGAGACAGTAGTTCTGTAAAGAACCGGTAAAAGCAGCTCCAAAGAGACCAAGGCTTAGTAACACAAGAAGAACAACAGCTCAAGAACACTGCAGTAAGATGCTTTCCTTCAATATCGCGCCGTTTTCAATTAAAATAACACCTCGGTTTCTATGGTTTTTAATTGAATTTTTTATGACCGCGAATAATTGCAGCCGCGAATATATCCCGACCTACGGTAATAATAATAACTACGCAGCTGTAAAATGCCAGCCATGCTTCTATGAATATCATTATAAGACGTCATTAGTGACGTATTCTACATTTTTCAAATTCCAAGCGGCTGGTGTCAACTGTCAAACTCAGTTGGGATATAGTATAGCTACTCTAACAGTCAGAGACAAAGCTGTGCTGCTCTACAGGTAATAATGTACATGTATATCTTTTACACCATTTATTATCATTTATATCATATGATTCTTAGTCCATTATTATTATTAATTTTCTTATTTATTCTGTGTTATGCTTACAGGCACTAATGAATGAGCTGATATCAGTTAGAGAATTGGTACAAGTTATGATTGGAGACACTTTATTTGAGAAAATAATAAAAATAAATTAATGTGGATTTACATACATGTAGATCAAGGGAGCATTATAATGTATTATTTGACAGAGTTCTCCTGATGCTATACCTGAAGTATTATCACTTGATGATGTTGATATATTACTAGCTTCAAGAAACTTTAAAGAATAAACACTAAAATAATTTTCATTTTTATTACAACATTTGATAACTGTACAACAGTGGCAGTGCATGTATTTTATTTTAATAAAACTTCAAAATTTAAACTATTTAGATCTATGCTGTGTATGCTATTATTTTTTTAATTTGATTATTTTGAGGGGTGTGCCAGGCTCAGCTTAAAGATAATGGCAGAAGGGCGTCAGCTAAATACATGTAAGTTTGAATTTGTATAAAATAACAAATTTTACCTTATTTATACATGTAAATACTACATTAGACATCAGAGATTTGAATACAGTACTATCCAATTTAAGTCACTTTCCTAAAGACAAGTGGAGAAGCTTTGGCCTGGAAGCTGGTCTGTATGAGCCAACACTGTCAGCCATTGAAGCTAATCATCGTGGAGATGTTGAAGGATGTTTCAGGGAATGTGTATCTCTCTGGCTAAAGAAAAAGGATGGAGTTGATAAGAAAGGAGCACCAACATGGCTGAGACTAAGAGATATACTGGAAGAGATTGGAGAAAAGGATTTAGCTGATGAAATCAGGAGGCATGGTTAGTATAAGACATGGTTAGTTCGTATGCTGGGACAAAGTAAGAGACCTATTGCCAGTGAATACGAATACCTCATGCTCTCATATCAAAGGGAACGGTGCAAGAAAGAGAAGCAATGCTGGAGGAGTTCCTCAATACTTGTAGTGACATGACACAATCTCAACTGGAGGCACACTTTAATGACTGCTCTAGCCTCTTCCTCGCTAGACTCACCGCCTGGCTTAGGATTACGTAAGATACTTCATTGTATTGTACTTAAGTATAGCTGAAAGTGATACAATGTACTTATGGTACATGTACATGTACACAGTATTAATTACTTGATTTTATTTCTCTTTCCAGGTACATGTTTGGGACATGTGTTGGTATACAGTTACAATGTATTGGAGTATTTATCAACATAGGAGCCAGGTAAAGACACATCTGACAAGTACATCAGTACATGTAGCAACACAGTGTACAGTCACAATAGCATGGTATCCTATTTCAGCAAAAAATAATGGAGAGAACCCTTTGTTGATCCATTATGTATTATTTACAAAGTTTAGACCTGATTTTGATCAAAATTGTATTTTTAAGGAGTTGCTTAAGAAAAAAGAAATTGTTCTTCTCCCTCTTTCTCTTTCTCTCTCAGTTATTTGACAGAGTTCCTTGAAGTTGGTGGTATCCTCACTTCACTTGAAATTGTTAACTTGAAGTCCTGTGAAGAGCCAGACAAATCAGAAGCTCTTCGTTTATTAACTCAAATATCAAAGAAAGGAAGACACTTTAAAGAAATGATATGTGAAAGCTATGGTGAGAGAGAGAGAGGGAGAGAGGGAGGGGAGAGAAAGAGATCAAATATATTTATTATTGTTGTTATTATTATTGTTTATTATTGTTGTTATTATTATTTATTATTGTTGTTATTATTATTTATTTTTAGGTATCAAAGTTGTTGCCGAATGTCTTGGACGGTCTCAACTATCAGAAACTCAAGAGTGTGCTCAGCACCTCCTCCATGAGCTATCAATGGTAAGCGACTTACAAATAAGAATTATTATAAAATTTGACAAATCTCCTGTACTACAAGGCTGCAAAAGTCGTGGCAGCCATTTTGAAGTGGGGTGAATCCTACTTAGTAACACTACCGCGTTACTAATATAGTACAGGGGATTTTATCAAAAATCATAAAGAGAAAATTTTCCATTTTTATAATTTTTTCTAATACATATACATGTTCTTATGTTGTGTAGAAAGTTTAAGCTGATTCCGATTAAAATTAGATTTTTTATGAATTTTTAAAGTTGCTCCAAAAGCCATGCATGCACTGTTGTAGCTCTTATTTCTTAACATGCTTTGTGGCAAACCCTGTATCACTGGATGATGTACAGTGTACATGTATACTGTATGTAGCTCATGTATTGCCTAGTTTATCATTGTTAGTATTGTTATTGTTGTTGTTGTTATTATTGTTATTGTTGTTGTTGTTGTTATTGTTTAGGCTAATCCCAGGTACCAGACACAAGTATATAAAGCACTGATTGCTTTACTGGCCTCTTCATCCTCTGAAGCTCAGAGACTCTCAACCTACACACTGAGACTAATACAGGTTAATGATACTATACTCTACTGTACAGGTACAAGTATTCTAATTTTTAGCCTTCCATTGGTGTTGTCAGTGGCTCCATTGTTGACCCATTGCTAATGTTACTGAGGAGCTTACACCTTGATATTCAACGTGAAGGTAATGTATAAAATAAATAAATAAATAAATGAATAAATAAATAAATGTATAAAATAAATAAATAAATGTATAAAATAAATAAATAGATAGATAAACTTTGCTCTATTTCTCGTTTCCTTTTCTTCATTATGTTATCATGTACACTAGCTGGTCTACTCATTAATGATCTATTGGAGTACGAGGAGATACAGCAGCCATTGCTAATGGGGCTGGTTAATCTGTTGAAGGTTGAAGACGTCACATCTAAAGGAGGAGGGGCTGGAAGAAGTATGAATATTAATTGAATGTTAATAATAATTATACACTTTCCTAGGTATTGTCACTGCTCAGGTGCAGCAGGAAAGTTCTGCAAAAATAATAAAGTAATAGTTAGTATCACATGATCTCATTGTAATGTCACATGACAGGGAGATAATAGAGAGACACCCTCACCTAGCACAGAAACTGGTAGAGGTCAGTCAATAAAGTGATTGTGTATAATAATGATTTAACATACAGTGCTACATTAAATGTACATGTATATTATATTAATGATCATGATCTGTAGGTTAATGTGGTCCATCAGTTGTTGTATGCCCTCAGTAATACTAGCTACTCTAACAGTCAGAGACAGAGCTGTGCTGCTCTACAGGTAATGGTGTACATGTACATTATGTGTATTTTTTACACATTAATGTCCTTTGTCTTCTTGCTGTAAATTCTTCTAGTTACATGCATGAGTGGAGTAATGTGTAAAATATTTATTCCAAGTTATCTTAACAGGCACTGATGAATGAGCTGGTATCAGTTAGAGAATTAGTACAAGTTATGATTGGAGACACTTTATTTGAGAAAATAATAAAAGTAAATATACATGTACTTGTACATGTATAGTGAAGATTGGAGGATTAAAGAAATATTATGCTTATTATGATGTATTTTTTTCACAGAGTTCTCCAGATGCTATACCTGAAGTATTATCACTTGATGATGTTGATATATTACTAGCTTCAAGAAACTTTAAAGAATAAACAATATTCACAAAGATGACAATGTACATGTACATGTAAAGTGCAGTGCATGTGTTTTATTTTAATAAAACTTCAAATTTTAAACTGTTCATGCTATTTTGCTGTGTATGGTATTTTTACCTTTTGTTTTGAGGGGTGTGTCAGCTTTAACATAATGGATACTATATTAGACATCAAGGATTTAGATTCAGTATTATCCAAGTTAAGTCTCTTTCCTAAAGACAAGTGGAGAGGCTTTGGTCTTAAGGCTGGTCTGTATGATCCAACACTGTCCGCCATTCAAGTTGATCATCCTAGAGATGTTGAAGGATGTTTCAGTGAAACTGTATCTTACTGGTTAAAGAGAAGGGATGGTGTTGATGAGAAAGGAATACCAACATGGCTGAGACTAGGAGATATACTAGAAGAGATGGAAGAAAAGGATTTAGCTGATGAAATCAGGAGGCATGGTTAGTAGTAAATATAATAGTCTTATGATGGTTGTAAATTGTTCAAGTACATGGACATGTAAGCTTTAGACATCACGGGACCTTTTGGAGGCACTTTGACTTTTTTATAGCTGTGAAATTTAAATTCACAAAAAAAATTTTTGCCGCATTCGCAAGAGATTAGTTCCTTGCTATATTGTACATGTATTTTCAATCCATCGAAATTTCAAAATGTGTACATGCAATATACACATATAAATTGTACATTACAAAGTATGCATTATTCTATTGTTTAATATTTCTTTCAGGTACAAGTGCATCTCTCACAAAAAGTGGCAGTGCTGGTACTACCAAACCCGGTAAGACTTTCCTGCATTGAAGAGTTCATAATTGGTTTGTTATTTCTATTACTAGTGTACATTGTACCTTATGAATTAAATGTTGAATATTCCAAGATGAATGATCAATTTTCTTTTGTTTTGAGTAAATTTGCTGATGAAATTATCCAAGGAAAGTTACTGGAAGACTTCAAAGCATTTTTACTGGGAAGGACACCCCATCAGTCTGAAGGGAGAGAGAGGGAAGGAACGGAGAGAGAAGACGAAATCATGAAAGTGCGCAACAAGTTGGGTTTGGTATCTTTACTTCGAAAATATTTTTTTCTTTCAAATTTTGGAGCGTTAATGTTATTTGCTGAGGAATATAATTTTGTTGCCAGCAAGACACTTTTAAATTTTTCAGGAAAAATTGATGTTCTTTACAAAAAAATTTTAGCTAAAGATTTTGCACAACAAGTCATTGAAGACCATGAAAAATTAGAAGACCATGGAGAGGTAAGAATGCATTCTAAATTTGAAGCCTCTTAAGAACAAATCCCATAATTATCTTTAGATGATTTTTAAAGTTGTCTGGAGCTTTAAATACTTCATTAAAGGAGTTTCAACAATTCCTTGCTGATGCTTTTCATCGTCATGGCATATTAATATCACTGAGGGTTGTACAGCAGAGTGTACTTACCTTTGTATGTACTATACCTAAATGGCTGGTTGAAGAGATGAAGGTATATGTGGCTAAAAATGAAGAAATGCTAAAATTAAAGAAAGTTGTGGAATTAATTATTGATGGCACTGTAATGTTTTCAATAAAGAGTAAAACAAATGGTAAGTACAATATTAATGAATATAATTGTATTGATCGTTATTCATAGAAACTGCAGGAGAATACCAGTACGTTGCTGCAAAGTTAAGTGATTTGAGTCTTACAGGTAATAATAATGTCACTTTATATACTGTACATGGTGATGATGGTATACATCATTGTTTATAATCATTGTTTTATTTGTCTATTAGAACAAGAGAAGTCTAGAGGAAGTGCTGCTGCTATGTTACCAACTGCAAGCTCAGGTACATGTACATTAATTATACTATTATTATAATTGTGACACTCATTTAGTAGAAGAAGGAAAATTTGATCATAGTTTAGAAGATATAAAAAAAAAGCTTATATCTCATTCATTTTACTTACTTGAACTTGATGATCAATTAGAAGATACTATGCGTCCTCATGATTTTATGGATTACTTCATGGAATTCATTCATACCAGTGATGAATATGCTGAACTGAGGTCTAAAGTACGGTATCATCCTCGCATCATTAAAATGTATCACAATACAATTTGGAATGGTCAGAGTTACTCTGAAATCAAGAAAATTTGTAATTTGTTTCTTAAAGCAATCGGATATATTTATAAGCGTCATCATCATCATGATTATATGTTTCATTTTGTTGCTCGTTGCTTAAAGGAGGAGTGGGAGGAAGTGTTGGGAGGTGAACCTCTTGTTGATATTGATAATATGTTTTTTCCCTTCAAAAAGTAAAAACTTTGTTACAATAATAGACTGTACTTTGTTATTATTTAGATTGTTTACACTTTATTAGTAAATTAACTAGTATTGAATTGTACTGAACATCATACTGTATGTGTACATGATAATTTATTTATTTTTAGTAGACATTAGTTTTCTATAATATAATAATTATTTTGTACCAGTATACATCTAGTGTATGTTTTCACTATTAACTACTGCCGCAATGTACAGTATGTGTCACATACATTGATACATTGAAACGTGTATGATACTAATGTATCACTAATTGGTTGGTGAAGTCAAAACAATGCTAAATATTATTATTAATAACTAGACAAAAGACCCAGTACATTACTTATACATACACAAAAGGATAAAGACTCCTTTATAATAACTACAAGGTTACACACACCTCTCCAGTCTTGTAGCTGTCTCTCTCTCTCTCTCCTATAATGGCTCCTCTTTATTTATTGTCCTATGTCCTCTCCATTTACTGGTTGACTGGTAAGTATATGTACATGATAGATGATAATTGTGATTGTATTAGAATAAATTACTGTATGTTCAAGTTATTTTTTAGTTATTATATTAATATTAATTTTTTTTTTCAGTCTCTTACTGTGCTTCAGATGGTGCTAATGTTACCATAGTGACGGTTCCTCCTGGTCCAGCCTATCCAGCTGGTACTTGGATCAGATTCAAATGTTATATACTGAATGAAACTCATCAAGAGCCAGTACTCCATGAATGGTAAATAACAATAATAATGATAATAAGTATTGAAAATAAATTGTTATTTTATTATTATTTTAGGTACAGAGGCTGTTCTGGTACCAGTAATGGAAGTATGGGAATGGATCAGTTAATATCCAGTGGTCTATCATCAGTACTTGATGTACCAGTTTTATCAACCCCTTCATTCTGTTGGGACACTGTCCACTGTAGAATAGTATCTAATAATAATAACAATGTAACCATTGGGACCGGAACCAAGTACTTTGGGAATATTACTGGTGAGGAGGAGAGGGAGGGAGGAGGAGAGGGAGGGAGGAGGAGAGGGAGGGAGGAGGAGAGGGAGGGAGGAGGAGAGGGAGGGAGGGAGGGAGAGAGGGAGGGAGAGAGGGAGGGAGAGAGAGAGGGAGGGAGGGAGGGAGAGGGAGAGAGGGAGGGAGAGAGAGAGAGGGAGAGGAAATTAAGCAGTGAAATTGAGGAATTATAAGTTTAATGTACACATGTACATGTACATTAGTGAAATTCTATTATTGTGTATATACTGATAATTCACTGAATGCTACTGCAGTATATACACTGTACGTGTATCATATTTAACAGGTTATGGATTGACGTATAATCTCCGCCCATTAATTAACAACAGTGTAATTGAAATCAATGACTCAACTAGTGAAATCGGGACTCTTGCATGTCACGGGAATATCCTGAAATATCCTAACTCCTCGTCTTGGATACTACATGACGAAACGCAGCTATCAGAATCCACTGATGAGATTACTATTACCAAAAGAGGCAGTTTATCCATTTTCTCTTACATATCATTGTTCATAAACCTCACTGGTGATGAACTGAGTAGATTCACTGGACAATATTCATGTGTAATGGAGGCTGATGGAGGAAACAGTGCAATATTGAGTGTATGGATATTAAGACAAGGAACAACAGGTAGGACATACATGCATGTACATGTATGTCATGTATCATATGACAAGCAGTGCTTACTTCTGTATGTATGTACATGTACTAGGATTTGATGGGCAATATTGTACAACTTAGACATGTACAGCACATTATTACATTTATTTTGCTTTTTGAACCTTTTTTCTTCTTATTCTGTTTCTTTTTCAATACCCTCTCTCTCTCTCTCAGTCCCTCCATCAATAGCTACTCACCACACTACCTCTCAGCCTCCGTTAACATTAACTTGTATATTTACCGGTTCCTATGGTAACGTTATCTGGTACAGAGAAGATCAACCTATTCCTCCTGCTAATACTAGTACTGACATTATAATTGAGACTAATCCAATAGATGGACCATATCCAACTTATTATACACAACTTCAGTTCATGGACACTGTAGGAGACTTGGGTCAATACAGGGGAGAGTACTACTGTGGATTTGAGGCATTAGTCGTTGATGAACTACCTGTACATAATAACTATGAAGGTACACTGTACTTGTGGTTCATTATTAGATTAATGGTTATTGTTATTCCATGTGTCATAATTTCCCCAGTTTATGCTTACATGTGTGTGTATTATAGATTAATGTACATAGTACATACAGTACATATTGTGCATGACATGTTAGTGTATAAATGAATGAGTATCATGTGTTGTGTACACATACATGTACATGTACATGTGAATGATATGTGGTATTGTTGTGTCTTACTGCACTGCTGTGTAGAGGTGTTTGTGATTGTTGGTATAGACTAATCCATTAACAATTATTATTAAATATTGTGTATTACTCTTCCTCTCTCTCTCTCTCTCCCAATTTGTAGTACGTCATCATTTCATTTTGGAGTTTGTTGGTAATAATCTGATAGTACCATGTCCATTATCTGGTACTAATATAACGACTGTTGGTGCTACAGTTGGACCTATGGAGGGTGAGGATCTCATTTTCATTCCTGATGGGCAGTATGAGAATGAGGAGCTGAGGATTGTACTGGAACCTCTCACTGACCTGAGGCATACTCATACTTTCAGTTGTCATGGTTACGGGAGTGATGGGATCAGAGTATATTTTAATTTCACTATCGTAGCAATAGGTGGGTCACCCCCTCTCTTCCTCCCTCTCTCTCTCTCCTAGCTATGTATAGCTCTCTTTCTCTTTTCTCTTGTTTTTTATAATCTTTAAATCATTTTAAATTTTCCCCTTCCATCACTCTAAATAATTATACCTCTCTCCTCTCTCTCTCTCTCCCTCTCTTTCTCTCTCTCTCTCTCCCTTCTCATTATATTCTTCCCTATATATATCATCTTCACACATACAGCCAGGTATCCATCATTATCTATATCATTCCCTGAGCCTCCAATTGTCCTCAGTGGTGACCCAGCTAACCTCACCTGTATCATTGATGAACTAACTCTTGGATTCGTCACTAACCAGCCAATGATTGACTGGTTAGGACCAAGTGGAGACACAATTGATACTGAAGGCAATACGACCATACACAGCCTGAGGAGAGAGGGGGAGAGGAGGAGCATATCCAACCTGTATATAGGAGGAGTGAAGTCTTCTGATTCAGGGAGGTATACTTGTTTCAGTAGTTTGATAAGTAGTGCCTATGAGTCTAATGCTTTGTATGTGTCTAAGGAAGAAATACTGCCAGTACAAAGTAAAGGAATATAGACTCAATAATGGATGATATAATTTCTATTTTTACATTCCTTTAGTTGCTCCTCCTTCTGTCACTGTTACCATGGTAACGCCATCAAACGCTGATATCGTTTATTTTGGTACTTTGCTGGTTCTTTCATGTTCTGTTGATATTGGTTACCATGCCAACACGCCCACGAGTGTAGCAATTGCTTGGTACCATGGCAACGACAGGATAAACGTCACCAGTCACATATCAATGAGTAACGTCACTAGACTTGGCTCTAATTCCTCTCTCTTTGTCTCTGCCCTCTCCATAGCAGCTGTGGGGAGGAGGGACGTCAATGGATCACTGGTTTGTCGGGCTAAAGCCATACCCATACCTGTTCCTGTTAATTCACATGTGGTGGACAGTAGGGAAGTAATGTCTTCAGTAATATCACTGACTGTTATGAGTAAGTACATGTACATGTACATGCATATACATGTACATCTGTGTATAAGACTGTATAACTGCATGGGAATAGAGTCAAATGCATGGGAATAGAATGCATTTTCTGGAATTTAATTCAGTGTTTATAATGAAAGTGTAAAGTTAAAGCAGCTAGCATGTACATGTACATATGTTTTAGCACAAAATTTGCATAAATTATCCAGTACTATGTCATCTTTAAATTTTTATTTAGATCCCAACGTTACTGTGACAACAAGCCCCTCCTACATTGAAGCCCGTGATTTCCCTCCATTTAATACATTTACCATCAACTGTACAGTTCAATGGAGTCTCAATATCACTGCTAATATAACAGCAGAATGGACCATCAATGATCAGCCAGTGATCCTATTAGAAGGACACAGTGTTGACATAGAGAGATATGATGGAGAGGTATTAGCTGTCCTTAAAATCAGTAATGGAACTCAGAGACATTCTGTGTATAAGTGCAGAGGAAGAATCAGCTTATGGAGGGAGGAGGAGGAGGAGGAGGAGGTGACATTTTATGGGGAAAGTGAAGTTATTATTTATGGTAAGAGAGAGAAGAAAGTAATCCTTTCTAAAAAAGATATTTGATAATACTAATAGTTATGTACGTGTACATGTACTTATGTTATTGTTAACTGAGAAAAGTTTTAACTTGTCCAGTAAAGGATTCAATTGATCTCATGCAGTTTATTATAAAAGATGCTAAAAATATAATCATTTCATTTTATGCTACATGTATCTTATTTCTTATAGGCCCTAGGTCTCCTTTCCCTCCCGTTGATATTCAAATCAAAAGCAAACACTCACAAGAAGTCATCATATCCTGGCTGGTCCCAATGGTAGTCTACACTAAGGAGAAGTACACTGTGTTCTTTGGTACTGATAAGAATGCTTTAATGCAGCCATTTTCAAGTATTAACGGATCAACTGACCTGACGCTAGTAGATCAGGTTTATAGTACAAGATTGACTGGTTTGCAAGGAAATACAGTCTATTACTACAGGATATTAGCTGAGAATACTGTACAATATGCTAACTTCACTGATATAATGAACTTCACCACTCCTCCTCCATGTAAGCTACTCATTATAAATGTACCTTGCACTAGTACATTTATTTATTATTTTATTTCTAGCATTTACTGAGCTCAATATATCATCATCTCCTGGTGACAGTCTAACACTTGGTACCAATTCATCACTTACCTGTACCATCACACTCTCCAACTCATCTCTCTCTCCTCCCACTCAAGTGTCATGGGTTGGTCCTAATGGGGCTATTCTCACTGCTCCAAGGTCTAATGCTACCATAGGGTCTGTGACTACAGTCATGTTGTATTTGAATGGTGTAAGGTCTTCTGATGCTGGTCAATACACGTGTAGGGTAACACTGGCTAATGGTGAATCTGCTGATATTAGTGAAAATATAACTGTACTAGGTATGCACTGTACTGTACTGATCCTTTTACAATTATGATGTGTAGAAAGTTTGAGCTGATTCCGACTGCAATTTTTCAAGTCACAGCCATTTTAAGAAAATGTCAAAATTCTGAAAATTACCCAAGGCTATAGCCCATGCTTTTTCTGAAAAATGACTCCAAAATCACCCTAATTTTTATTTCATTTTCTGATACATATTAATGTCATTATGCTGTGTAGAAGGTTTGAGCTGATTCCGACTTCAATTTTTAAGTTGCAGCCGTTTTAAGAAAACACCAAAATTCCAAAAAATACCCAAGGCTATAGCCCATGGTTTTTTCTGAAAAATGGGTCCGAAATCACCCCAAATTTTTATTTCATTTTCTGATACATATTGATGTCATTATGCTGTGTAGAAAGTTTGAGCCGATTCCGACTTCAATTTTTCAAGTTACGGCCATTTTTTAAAAATGCCAAAAATTCTAAAAATACCCAAGGCTATATAGCCCATGGTTTTTTCGGAAAAATGGCTTCGAAATCACCTCAAATTTTTATTACATTTTTTGATACATATTGATATTGTTATGCTGTGTAGAAAGTTTGAGCTGATTCCGACAAATATTTTTCAAGTTACGGCCATTTTAAGAAAATGCCAAAATTCTGAAAAATACCCAAGGCTATAGCCCATGGTTTTCCTGAAAAATGGCTCCGAAATCACCTAAAATTTTTATTACATTTTTTGATACATATTGATATTGTTATGCTGTGTAGAAAGTTTGAGCCGATTCCGACTTCAATTTTTCAAGTTGCAGCCATTTTGAGAAAATGCCAAAATTCTGAAAAATACCCAAGGCTATAGTCCATGGTTTTTTTCAAAAAATGGCTCCAAAATCAACCCAAATTTTTATTACATTTTCTGATACATATTGACGTCCTTATGCTGTGTAGAAAGTTTGAGCTGATTTTGACATTAATTTTTCGAGTTACGGCCATTTTAAGAAAACGCCAAAATTCTGCAAAATACCCAAGGCTATAGCCCATGGTTTTTTTTTCAAAAATTGGCTTCGAAATCACCTCAAATTTTTATTACATTTTCTGATACATATTGATGTCGTTATGCTGTGTAGCAAGTTTGAGCCGATTCTGACTTCAATTTTTAAGTTGTGGCCATTTTAAGAAAACATCAAAATTCTGAAAAATACCCAAGGCTATAGCCCATGGTTTTTTCTAAAAAATGGCTCCAAAATTACCCCAAATTTTTATTACATTTTCTGATACATATTGATGTCATTTTGTTATCATTATTATTTGTATTTGTATTATTATTTTTATTTTGCTTAGTGCCTAGTCCAACTTTAACCCTCTCGTTCCACGAGACCACACCCACTAATGTATACACAGGACACAACGTAACTGCCCTAGTAACACTGACCTTCGCTACACCTTCTTTCATTAACACTCAGTTTGGCATCAATACAATATGGAGATTGAACAGACAGGAGCTGAGTTCAGTAGCATTAAAAATGAGTCTATTACCTGTTAGAGAGATGGGGCCTGGTGTTTATCAAGGTGGTATTGTTCTGATGAATGTTGATAATGATGATGAAGGAACTTATGATTGTCGTGCTGTTACCTTTTCAGTGCATCCTGGTGTGAATGTACCTGTTTCTAATACTGTCCAGTTTATTCTTGATGTTAGAGGTATGGAAAACTGATTGAGAAGGAATGAGAATATTTATGAAACTGTTTGTTAGGAGAGAGAGAGAGAGAGAAAGCAAGAGATATAAATTTAGAAAAAGTTTAAAGTCATTATATTATATTTATTTTCAGATCTTCCACGCCACACTATGACTCTATCATCCAGTCCCAATACAGTAGCAGGGTCATCCCTCTCCATCCACTGCAGGATAGTATCACTTGATTCACTTCTCTCTCCTCCTAATGTTCAATGGTTTGATCCAGATGGAAACAAGATTCACAATAATTCAAATTTTATTATTTCTTTGACACGAATTTCTCACAATCTCACCAGCTCTTCTCTTTTTCTTCCTGAGCTCAGGACCTCTCAAGCGGGTTCCTATGCATGTGAAGCTGTATCAGACCTCCCCTCACTGGGTCTGGTCAAGAAATCAATTTCTAGTTATCTCCTTAAAGTTTCAAGTAAATGATGTTTAAAATAAATTATAATTAATATAAGAAAAAAATTATCATCGACTAAATGTATAAACACTGTACATGTCAGTACAGTACATGTACCATTTCATCATAAATGATCTCTTGGTGTTTCTTTCCACTAGTATCTGCTCCTTCTCTCTCACTCTCTCTCTCTGATTCTCCTCCATTTCTTGCTGGAACTCCATTAAACATTACATGTAAGATGAACATGTCTTCATTAGTGGACACTGAGTACAGGATCACTGCTAGTTGGAGTAGGAACAACAACCTACTACCTAACACAACAAGAATCATTACTACTAATGATTCAATGATGATCAGTAATGACAGCTACAGCAACACTCTACAGTTTAATACACTAAGCATGAGTAGTGATGGTAATGGTAGTTATACTTGTTCAGTTCTGGTAGTTCCTCTTCCTTATTTAACTACTGTATCACCTTCTATGCTAACTAAGGTCTCAGTTGATATCATTATTGAAGGTAAAAACTAGAAATTACAGTACATGTATTTAAATATTTTGACTCTACTGTATTCTTATTTTTTTCTAGAGCCTCCTTTCAATGTTGTTTCTTCAGTTTCTTCTCTAACTTCACTTGATATTCCTCCATTCAACAATATCTCAATATCTTGCAATGCTTCCACTTTAATGAAAGTTCTATCACCAAAAACCATCTACTGGAGGCTGCACAAAATTGGAGAGGAAAGTCTTGGGGCGCCACTACTCAATGGCCATAAAGACTTTGAAGTGAAAGAGATTGATTATTTTAATGGTAGTATTGGTAGTGCTGTAACTGGAGCTACTAGTGAATCTGGAGTCTACCACTTCATTTGTGAAGCTACTTTGATGGTGAAGGAAGATATGCAACTAACAGAAGTGAAAACTATAGAAGTTACTGTAAAAGGTAAGAGAGAAGAACACCACACTTACATGTACTATACTGCAAGTTGCATGCAGTATAATAACTTGGTAATTTATTGCTTTTAGCAAACGTTTGGCAATTAAAATTCTTGACTGATGCAGCCACCTTTATGAAATAATATTTTAGCTTAATTTTGTTCAGTAATTCTTGCAATACAGTATTTAATATCATTGCTGTGTTAATGTATAATAGGCCCATCGGTACCAGAATCAGTTACTAATATCAATGCTAGTATGGGACCCACGCTCACATCAGCCATTGTATCATTTACAATACCACAACTATCGTACACTCCTGAATCTTACATTTTGCAGTATGGTAAGAACCCACTGTCATTGGACCAGAGGTCTGACAGAAGAGACGGAGTTTTTAATATTAATTTGAGTAATGAGGAGTTTAATATCAGTGTGGCTGGCCTGGAGGTTGGGTCTGATTATTATTATAGAGTATTTTCATCAAATTCTGAAGGAACCACTGCTAGTGATCAGCTCAAGTTTACTGCTGGTAAGAACATGGATAATATATATAGAAGGAGAGGGGGGAGGAAGGAGAGAGAAAAAACTCACAATTCTTATTGTTACTTTTAGGATTTGGGAATGTACTTTTCCAGTTAAAATTAAATGGAGTTTTTGATTGTGAAAAATGGATAGTGAGTTAAAGTGCATGTGACATGTAATAATTTTGATGTATTTAATACATGTACATTACAAGGTACATTATACATTACAAGGTACATTATACATTACAAGGTACAATGTACCATGTTTCTTTGTGTGTGTGTACATGTACATGTACAATCATACAAACTAACAACAAATTAACAATTTACATGTACATTGTCTGGACCCCATGACACTCTACACTGTACAATGTACAAAAGAAACAATGTACATGTACTTGTACAATTATGACGCAATCATTAATAATAGTAATAATTATTGATAATTATTTCTAATTCTTTTAGTTGTCAGATATAACACAAAAGAAGTCGGATATCATAAACTGGTTAAGTGACTCCATCACCCAATCCTGTCCCTCTCTCTGTCTCCTTCCCTCCTCACACATCACCGACGGTCACTACCTCTGCTCACCCTCCGATATCAAATCGGTCATATTCCGTGGGCGTATGTACGGGACAACAAACCAACCCCCTTCATATTACATTGCTATATTAGCAGATTCAATGAGAAGTGGTGGTACTACACTAGTGGTTGATAGCATTAGGCTAACTACTGATCCATCTTGTGTCCTAGTCATTAATAGTTTCTCAGATCGGGAATGTACTTCTGGCGTAAGTCATACACCTGCTCCTACCTCAGTTGAAGAAGGAGATGGTTCTAGTGGTGTCCTTACGTATGTGTATATCGGCAGTGGGGCTGGAGCAGCTGTCATTTGCGTTTGCTGTTTGGTGGTTTTATGTGTTTGCATTGCTTGCAAGAGGAGCAGAGACAAATCAAACAGAAGGTTTGTTTGTTTGTTTGTTTGTTTGTTCGATATTTTAATTTATAAAAATGTACACATACACAGTTTCCCACTAAGCATGCTACACGTGAATGGGCTGAACAGCATAAGCTTCATGAGCTAATGCATGAATTTTTTGAGCAACTTTAAAAATCGGAATCAGCTCAAGCTTTCTATACAACATAAGTACATGTATATACATCAGAAAATGTAATAAAAATGAAGAATTCTCTCTTTCAATTTTGGCAAAATTTGACCTGAAACCATGCATGCACAAAATAATTTTGTTGTATACGAAATATTCTATAACTGATATTACCATTATCCCTCCCCTCCCCTCCCTCAGGTATAATTTAAATGAAATTCCATTGAAATCTCCAGCCACTCCCACATCAGCTCCACCAGTGGGTGCGACTCCGAGCTTCGAAAAGAATTCCTGGTACATGTCGCCATCTCGTTCCCGTGGGCTCAGCGTCCCCCTAGCCAAGGCCAACCCAACCCACTACATGTCCCCCCGCTCAAGTCGACTCAATCCACTGGATAAAGGATCTATGGAACAGCTGGACCCAAAGAGACTGCGTCAGTCCCCAGGTCCCGGTCGGAATTCTCATATATATCTTCTCAATACTCCTCCTCATATTCCTCTCCCTCCTCCCCCTCCTGCATCTGACGAAGCTATTTACGAACCAATACCAGGTTTTGAAGGACCGCCACGCCCACCTCAGGTAGCCCCTCCCCCTCCTGATTGCCCGGTGCAGTTAGAGCGGAGACTGGTTACTGGACAATCGTGGGACGTACCAGAACGACCAGCGGATGAAGATGAAAGTGATTATGAGAGAATGGAGTCAATTGGACCTATTACTTTCAGTTCCGCCACTTTATAAGAAGATAAAAAATACTATTTTAATAATTATTATTAACTGTGATTTGTGATGCACTAACTATGCATGCCACATGTACATGATAATTCAACTTTACTTTTAAGTCTAATATTATAAGTATTGATAATTTAATAAATAAAAAGGTTGCACACTTTTATTTAAATTTGGAATGGACATTGCTATTACTATAATGGTTGTTTCATCAGACTAGATGATACATGTGTTTATACACTGGTATATAACTAATAGATCATACTTATGGTACTATTTATAAATTAATAAATTATAAAAGGACAAAGGGACTTATGTCCCTCCAAAAATTTTATCTTTTGACTACGGTGACAATCATGATTGAAGGAGATAGTAATGCATTTTTATAGTAAGGATTTAGCTTCATAGCATCATGGGTTGCCTTGAATCATTTTAATTAACGTTAATTAATTGTTGTTGGAGGTGTGGCTCTAAATAAGTCACGCCCATAGTTATGAATAATGGCAGCTTATGCCAATGGAATAGAAATTACTCAGGAGACGATCAGCCCGGCCTCTTCTCCTCCTTCTACAGTCAAGAGACCCTCGGGAAAAGGAGAAAAGAAAGAGGCCATGAGTAGTAAAGGAGACTCTCATTCTTCCCTCGTACACCAGTCCCAGAAAGGACGCCATTACGGGACGGTAGGGAAAGGAAGACATAGAGAGAATGGACACCTGATACACAATATCACTGCCTCGGACACCCTCCAAGGGATAGCTCTTAAATACGGAGTAACGGTACAGTCACACAGCCTTACTTCTTAAGAGTGTTGTTGATAAACAGGCCAAAGTGTACATGTAAATAACATTCTCTACTAAAGGAAGTATAGCATCATAATGTTTATGGCGAGCATTTACTCGAAGTACACTTGCTATGAAAGCTACAAATTGTATTTTTAGGTCCTCCTTTTTATTATTATTTTAAAAGTAATACCTAGTGGCACATATTGACTCATAATGTTCACACATTTTTGACCCAGTCCCAGTGCACCTGCCAGCCTGCCACCTGCACAATGTATAATATATTCATTAGATTCATTAGTTTCTTATAATTCTGGCACAGTCAATTTCTTACTATAGCTACTGTATAATCTCTTTTGTATTCCCCTATCTCTCTTGTTTGCATGTTTTTATGTTATCTTACTCCTTTCACTTCCCTCCCTCTCCCTCTTTCTCTCCCTCCCCCTCTCCCTCTTTCTCCCCCTCCCCCCTCTCTAGATTGCTGACATACAGAGATCTAATCTGTTGCTAGGCAATGAGTCGATACACAGATACAAGATACTCAAGATTCCTCTCAGTGTCTCCTCCTCCCCCCAGCCCTCCCCTAGTCTCGACCATCGGAAAACCGAAACAAGAACTTCCTCTTCTCAACTCGTTTCCTCAATGGAGGAAGAGGAGGAGGAGGTGAAACGAAAACCGTCGTCCCTCGTGGCTGGAGAAAGGGATATCATGAGTCTTCTTAATGCTGTGGATCAGCAGCTGTTAGTATCGAAATCCTTTGCTGATAAACTGGCGGAAAAAAAGTAAGTGATAAAGTGAGTGAGAGAGAAAAGGGAATATATATTGTACTGGAAAGTGACGGATGTTGTTGATCCACAAGTCTTTTTATCATAAATATTATGTAAACATGTAAACAAGGGAAGAGAGAGAGAGAGAGAAAGAGGGGAGGGGGTGAGAGTTGTTGATCCACTGTATGATATGACATATTATGACATTGAGTATAGGGTAAAGTTTTTGTTTACATTAAAATACTTAATGAAAAAGAAAACTTCCCCTATACTAACAAAGAGAAGAATAGATGAAGTATATTGAATTGGGAAAGATTGCCCGTAGTATATTACTACTGCTGTTGTTGATTCATAATCATTCACTGGTAACATTGAAGCATCCATCATATACTGTAACTAATAATACATTAATATGCATTATAGATATAATAATAATAACAGTAATAATAATAATACAATCTTATATAGTATATACATTGTATACACAGTTGAGTTATTGATCTAACAGTACATGTATTTATTTATTTATTGTTATTTTTAACTGAGTACAAATAGTGTATAACTTAAATAATATTGTAACAGTAAACAATAACAATCACTGCAGTGATGCGTAACAGTAAACACTATTAATGAGATTATGGAGCAGTGAAGGAGCAGTGATGCTGGAGCAGTGAATATATACTGGGAATACTAGTAATAGGAGTGGTGGGTTAGAATAACAGTTATGGTTTCAGTTTAGATTATTTGTTTTATTTTTGATTTGTTCTCTTGACCTTTTACTCATCATGGTACAGCCAACAAGAGCTTATTAGAATCTCTGATGAATGAATGAATGAATGAATTTAAAAAGGGCCAATTTTTGAAAAATACCCAAGTTTATAGCCCATGGTTTTTTCTGAAAAATAGCTCCAAAATCACCCCAAATTTTTATTACATTTTCTGATACATATTGATGTCCTTATGCTGTGTAGCAAGTTTGAGTCAATTCTGACATCAATTTTTAAAGTTACGGCCATTTTAAGAAAACGCCAAAATTTTGAAAAATATCCAAGACTATAGCCCATGATTTTTTCCAAAAAATAGCTCCGAAATCACCCCAAATTTTTATTACATTTTCTGATACATATTGATGCCCTTATGCTGTGTAGCAAGTTTGAGTCGATTCCGAGTTCAATTTTTCAAGTTACGGCCATTTTAAGAAAAAGACAAAATTCTGAAAAATACCCAAGGGCACGTGGTCAAGATGGCTGGCAGGAGTTGCTGCTCTTGTTCCAAGCAAAGTCGCTGTATAAGATGTTCCTGCGTTAAGAATGGCTCCTATTGTGTGAAGTGTGTTCCTAAGTCGGAGGGGAAGTGTATGAATTTGCCTATTGCTGCTGATGATAGCGTGTCCTTGCTCTCTGACTCGAGGCCTCCCCATGTGGTCTCTTCTTCGTCCCCCTCGCCCTCCCATGCCAGCGCTGCCTCTTTTGACGACTCTTCTGATGATGATTATGATCCTGGGCCCCTTTCTAGTCCCTCTCGCTCCTCGAGCGCTCAACCTTTGGATCTGCCTCCCAGCGCTGGCTCTGATTCACCCGCTCGCTCTTCCTCTCCCGTTCCTCCTCTCTCCTCCCCTTCTCCTCTCTTCTCTCTCGTTGATCTTCCTTCCTTTCGGCCTATGGCTGACCCTCAGTTCCAATGGAAGAGTTTGACAGGACGTAAGTGTATGAGATTGATTGATAAATGTTATGAAGTTGCTGTTCATTGGATTCCCAACCTCTTCAAGGTCCCACATGGTAAACATGGAAGGTCCTTTGTTGCTGAACTATCATCTCTTTTCCGTGATTATGCTGAAGATTCGTCTAAGGAATGTGTTGCATTGAAGGCTGCCTTTCTGCTCCCGTTACTAGTCTTACAGAAGCCTCATCGTCGCTCTAAGACAAGTGAACATGTTTCTGCCCTTGAGCGTCGATTATCTCTTTGGCATGATGGCTGTTTTGATGAACTACTGAAGGAGGGAGAAACCATCCAGAGAAAGTTTGCTGTTGGGCCTCGTACTGTTTCCACTGACCTCGCAGGATCGTTCTCGAAACTGATGTTTCAAGGAAAGGTGAAAGCTGCTCTGAGACTGTTAAAAGGTTCTGGGTCGAAGTCTGGGCAGCCCCTTTCTCTCAATACTCCTGTATCATCTGGTGGGTCTACTGTAACTGTTAGAGATAAACTGATTGAGAAACATCCAGATCCTGCTCCCTTCCATCCATCTCACTCTCTTTTACAAGCTACTCCTCCTCCTGATCATGAACCACACTTTATCGAATTCCACCAAATTGACGGAGGTCTGATTCGCTCCATGATTCTACGAATGGATGGGGCTGCTGGTCCTTCTGGGATGGATGTCTCTCACTGGAAGAAGGTCTGTACTTCCTTTGCAAGAGAGTCTGACAATCTCTGTGACTCAAATGCAATGGTTGCCCGTAAGCTCTGTTGCAGTTATGTTGATCCACTGGGTGTCTCAGCTCTGGTAGCCTCCCGACTCATTGCCCTTGATAA